AATGTGTGTATAGTGTCGGTTGCAGTTCAGAAGGTCGACTTGTAATAGCGGTTGATACTTGGATGAAATATCACCTTGCTGCAGCAGAAATGAACCGGAGGCGGTCATCCAAGATGGTAACGTGATTCCAAATGTTGAGTGAAGTGCGTATTGGAAAAAAAAACGTTCGTTTAGACTATAGTTAGTGGCCGTACATAACAATTCAATCAATTCAATTTATCAGCTGTAAACCGTGTGCCACAGACCTACATAACAGTGACTGGAGGCTGTTTTGAGCGTCAGGAAGTACCGATTCCCAATAGAAAGGCGGAAGATTGTGAGATTTCAACGCCAAGCTTATCCTGTTCCAGAGGTACCGTTGAGAGGCTCAACCTGACCATTACACTGGATTATAAGCCGATCTATGACTCATGACAACACTTTTCTCCAAAAGGAATCTATTGATCTCAGACGACATGGATGATGATCCTTTGTCGGAATGGATATAGGCTGGTATTCCGAACAAACAGTAGATTTGTGTGAGAGAGTCAATCACAGTTAGTGAGGTTGTATCCGCGCATGTATATGCAAATGGGAATTCGGAAAACTCGTCAATCACCGTGAGTAAGTAACGCTTGCGTGTATTAGATGGCAGGGGACCTTTAAAATCCAAACTCAGGTGTTCAAAAGATTACGTTGCCTTAATAGGTCTACCGGAGGACTTCCGGAATCTTGGCTTCGGTTCGGCACGCACGTTGCAGGAAAAAGTAACTCGCCTGACATCGTCGACGGAGTAGGGGAGATTCTTGAAACGCATAAAATGAAATACGCGGGTAATGCCTGAATGACAGGAGTTATGGAGCTCTCCGTGGAAGCACATATGAATGACTGAACGCTAATCGGTGGTCAATTTGAAGGGTCTTCCGTGTAGATAGTGCCGCCATTTCCTGATGGATTCAGCGATAGCCTACGCATACTACTGGGTGGCATAATGATTCTCGCTCGAATTGAGTGTTCTTGAGAAAAAGGCTACTGGCCGATTGTTTTTGGCTGATGGATGTGGCCATGGCAACATCGGAGTCATTCGTCTCAACAACCAGAGGCTCATTATAAACTACTTTGATTAGCGTAGCACTTTCCAGTTCATTTTTAGGTTCCCAAAGGCTAATTTGATGGCAATAGATAGATGACATGTTTTACTTTTTACCTGTTTGTTAATTTTGTCGAGGTGGCCGAAGTGGTTGGAGCGCGAATTTACTGGCCGGAAGGTCCATGGTTCGAATCCGACCTCTGCCTCTCGACTTCCCCTGTCTAGGCTTGGGCAACCTGACAGTATCCCAGCCCTTAGGCCTCCCATGGGTGGCATGGCAGCTAGGCACCGAAAGGGTGCTACAGCTGAACGGTTTTTTTGTCGAAAAACGAAGATATCCCGTGAGCGTAATATTCGAACGTACCGATGACGCGTTGCATTTCCGTGTTAGTACGTGGAGGAGTTAACTGGCCGATAGGTTCCATTTGTTCAGGTTCGGGCCTTGTGACATTCTTTGAAACCTCATAACCTAGGAGTTAGATGAATTTTGAAGCAGTGACAGTTTCGCTGTCGTTCAGCTCAATTCCATATCTCCTCGTAGCTTTTAAAAATTATTGGAAATTGAGGTTGTGTTTCTCCTGGGTATTGCCACAGACAGTCACATTATCTAGTTAGGCATACGTGCTTTGCAGACCTAATGATATCGTTAATAGTTCGCTGAAAAGCTGGCCTCATGCAACACAACCAGTGGATCTCCTGGGTTTGCCACAGACAGTCACATTATCTAGTTAGGCATACGTGCTTTGCAGACCTAATGATATCGTTAATAGTTCGCTGAAAAGGCGGCCTCATGCAACACAACCAGTGGAGATAATGCATACGGGCGAATGGAATGTAAACCTTGATCGCCCTTCAGAAGAAGAAATAGGGTACGAAATAACCATACTGAAGCGTGAAAAGGCACCAGGACTGGACGGTCTGTATCCAGCCCTCTTCAAAGAAGGCGGAAAATCCCTGGTGACCCACCTGCCATATGGGACGAAGAGAAAGTGCCTGCAGAATGGGGCATGTCGACGGTTATCCCCATCTTCAAAAAGGGTACGCGGACGCTGTGAAAACCACCGTGGCACCAGCCTGTTAGCTGTGGCATCGAAGGTGCTCTCTGGCCTTATCCTTCGAAGGTTGACTTAACACAGGGAGAGGCAGATCCGTGAAAACCAAGCTGGGTTCCGTCCTGCAAGAGGTTGCATCGATCCTATCTTCACCCTCCGACAGATTCTGGAACAGCGACACTGCTTCCAGCAACCAACAATGGTTGTTTTTCTTG